AAAAGTGCGGTGATTTTTTGCATCTCTGGTAGAGATGGCACATTTATAAGATTTAGACACTTCCCTAAATTAATGTTTATCACATCATATTACATTTCTAAATTTTATCTGATGCAAAGTAAAAAGAAAATCCTTTTTATCACCTTGCATGTTATATATAGGCAATTCTCACTGTTTAATCTTTGTCCATTATACTGACAAGCTTGGCTAATCAAGCAACAGCATGGTACATAGTTTTACAGTGCACATAGACAGTTGTTCTTTCTTGGTAATGAATTACATCGTTGAAGACAGAATTATTCCCTTATTCCAAAACATTATAAACTGGAAATATTTGAGTGGATGAAATATTTCAGCCTAATTTAGCAAGTAGTTTTTCCCTACTGTTTTGGACCTCCCGCAGCCCCTTAAGACAAGACAGAGATGTTTAGAAATGCATTACCACCTAACTGAATTGGTCACCTGGGCATGGGGTGGGGGGGTGGGGGTGTGTGTGTGTCCATGTGCATGTGTGGTTTTAAGTAAACCACTGAAATCCTATCACAGGAACATGTAGGACATAAAAGTTCTAAGAACAGTTGGTTTTAAGTATAAGGCTGAAAAATTTCACTAAAAGTAAGAATACTAGAAAAAGAAGGAGCGCTAGGAATTTTTATAATTTTATAATTTTAACTAACAGACACCTAGTTGCTTCTATTTGTTCTAGGCACTTATGACTGTCTTTTCTAAGTGCTAGCAAAAATTCCCCATTAAAAAAATTCTCACACAACTTGTACAGAAGTCCCATTTGATCATAGAACAAAGCCATAAAAAGAGGTATACGATACCACAATTCTTCACTTGGCAACCAATTATGTTAGTCAAGACAGAATTGTACCCTCACTCCATAAGTTACCAGAAATTGTAAAGAAGTAAAATCTTATGGTTATATAAATCTTTAAGAAATAACTGAGATGAAGGAGAAAAAGTAACGAGCCATGCTATGATTTGCTTAAAACATTTTTTCATGTTTGACCTCCCTTTCATTTAACGTCCTGTAGAAACATCTAGTTCTTCTTAATTTGGAAACCTAAAATTATTGAAAGTACTAATTTTCTATAAATTGCATGTGTGTCATATGAGCTTGGAAATATATTACAACTTCGGTTAAAGATGGTAAAATGCTACCGTTAGTGTTAATATAAGAAGGAAATGAAGAACAGAAAAAAATTAATTGGTGAGTGGCTACTGTATTCTGACAAATTTTAAATTGAGTTGCCTTTTTTTTCCATTACATGTCAAATTTGTAATAGATTAAGATATTCTATGCTACTTAAAAAGGTCATGTATTAAATATCCAACTTCATAAAAAGCACTGAAAATCCTTCTCCCCAAATATTTCCAGCTTGACAGAAGCAGGCAAAAGGCATTAAGAAACGTAAACACACAAGAAAATTGCAAATCCCACCTGATGATCCAAATATATGGCATTCCTTTGAAGGTGATGTGAAAGAATCTCATTCTAGCAGGCAGCAGTCAGGGGGGAAAAAGGAAAGGGACAGAAAGTGCAGGATGCATGAAAAGAGCTTTAAAAGATGTAAACTAGACCGTGATCTTTCTGTTTTATGTAGAAATATAATGCTGCTTTTATCTGCTTTTTTTGGTCAACTATTAACAAGTTTTGATCCCGAAACAGAAACAATGGAAAGTTTGCCATGAATCAGACCACAAACTACTACATTACATTTTGGTTTTACATATAAAATAAAGTAAGCTCATAGTAAATGTCTACTACACAGACAACTATAAACCCTTTGAAAAATCTGTGTTTTAAACACGTCCTGATTTTCGTACACAGATTACAAATAAGACTGTATCTGATATGAGGCAGTATAAACAATAAATCAATCTCATGACCTATCACTACTAATTTTGTTTATAACACCAATAGGCTAAAAACCTTTAACTTTAAACTGAACTATAATATATTTTAAAATATTCCTATGTAACTTTGACTCAGTTAATATCAAAAAGCTATGAGTAAAGCCTCAAAGGGTTAATAGCAGAACATGACACTCACAAAGAATAAAGGTTACTCTATTCTACTCCCATAGTAGTCAGAGAATATTGCACTAATGGTACAATGTAAATTTTGATTAATGAATGACTACAGGTTAGTGAGAATGGTACATGACACACATTGCTTTATAGCTGACCTTTGGGCTGCTGGCCTCAAGTTTTAGTTGCATGAGCTGTGCTAGTGTGTGTTCCCGGATACTACTCAGTTCAGCTTGCTGCCGTCTCAGCTTTATTAGCAGCAGCGTGAGCTCCTCTGGCTGAAGGAGTGCAGTGTGAGAAGCCAAAGAGTAGAAAAAAGGTTAATTGGTATCCTAAACAACACTTAATTAAAATAAGGGTTCTTAGCATCTTTCTTACAAAAACTTTCTACAGTGATACAACAAAAGGTACACCATTTTTCCCAAATTGACCACTTCCAAATATATAACGAAAGTTTAACTTTTAACTATTTTTAACTATTCATAACCCTGTAATATTGTAACATCCTGTATAAAGGACAAAAAGGTGAGGATATTGCAGGAGAAAGTCTACAGCCCCCAAACTTTCTCTGACATGCATATCAAGTGATTTAAGTGAAGGGGGACATAATTCCAGCCCATCCTTATCTGTACATGGACAGCCATTTAAGCTTGGTGAAAGAATAAAAAAGTTCTCTCAAGAAAATTTAGTTTCTAAAATAATTCTTCAGACACATACATCGAAATTCAGAGTAAATAAAAAAAACCATGATAACTGACCTACATCAGGAACAATCACCTTTCACAAAATAAAACTGCACAAGCATGACAAAAATATTTTTCTGTCCCACCTTCCACAGGTCTGAGGCTACCAGTTAATTTATTGCTTTGCTTTCATGACTAAGATGTAAAATACAGCCTTAGGAAGGGATGAAGAATAGTATTTAAAACCCAAGACTATAAATATATAATGGAAATACAGTCACACTCAAATGGGTATTTATCAGGTAATTCCACATAGGTCAGTTTGGGAAACTCTACCTGAACCATTCCTGGGAACCACTACTACTAGCAATACTTCAAAGAAAACAAAACACTTCACATCACAAGTATTTTTGTTATGTTCCTTTTTGCTTCTGTTTCTTACACTTCTCCAGAAGTCAATGTTATAAGAGGTTAAATATTCATCTAGCATTTTGATTTTGTCACAAGTTCTGTGAGTTAAAAAACCCCACCAAACCCAAACACACAAAAAAGCGCCTAAAACCCCACTTGCTCTCTGCCACAGCCACAGATTTTCCCAAAGCAAAGAAGTAAAGAAAAAAAGCTCCAGAGAACCAAATATTAAATTACTGAAAAACGAATACCAGTTTCTTAGAATAAAGAAGAAAAATCTCAGAATAAGTGTGGCACTTGGTTTTGAGTTCGTACCAAAGTAGCCCACAAGAGGGAGCAAGGGATTTCCAAATAGCTTCAGTTGTCAAAACCATTTGCTTTGAGGGAAAACAAACATCAAAGCCAAATTGTCTAATGGCCAATCTTCCTCTTATAGTAGTCTTTCAATACCTGCATTTAAAATACTTAATTTCAGAAAGTAAGCGTAAAAATCTAGACTGTTACACAAGACCTTTTCAAGTTCTCTCCAAAAATCAGTGCCAATGCTTTCAGTCTGAAAATTAACATCATTTCAAAGCACAAGAAAACTGATTTTTGGAAATAAGAGAATTGAAAGTAGCATCTTGAAACAAAAGGAACAGTGAATCATTTTTTCAAGACCAAAATTCTTCTTGGTATGTTCTGCAAAAGCCGAATTTTAGTGCATCAGGAACAAGCTATTTAACAGTACTTTAATCCAATGTTTGCAAGCAAACTTTTTTTCTGTAGAGAAGCCCATTGAACAGTAATTCCTACATCTCTCTAGATGTTCATAATGTTGCAAACACTTCTGACATTGCTGTAAGTGCTGTGTTTTTGATACAGCTCTCAGGACTCTTGCAACAACCACAACACAGCATTTTGTTTAAAGAGCTACCTACAGGTTTCCTCCCCTGCTCCCTGCAACGAATGTCCTGCGCGTAGGACTTCTGGTTTCTACAGGCAGAAGCTTGGACCTCCTTGCCCCCTACCCCGCTCATGGGCCCAGCTCCTGCAGCAGAGCCCAGGAGAGCTGATGGGGCCATGAACCCAAAGAAACATCTGCAGAAGACAGGGCCCAGAGATAAGGCGCCAGCTGCCAAAGGCCAACCCGTAAGTCGCTGAAGGTGCCAGGGATTCATGCTGGGAAGTGCAAGAAACAGGGGTCCAGGCAGTGGAAGGATTGACCGGGAAGCTGTTGCCCAGAGTACGATTCAAAATCTGTACTCTCAATTCATAACTGTCTCAAACAGTAATTTCAGATGGACAAAGAAACATTATGGAAAGGAGAGAAAAACTGCTAAAGAAATTCAGTAAATTTGGGACAATTTCTTAGCTTTTGGCTAAAAGTCATGTTTCAGTTAGGAAGGTGGACAGTATTCACCAACAACACTTTGATGAAATACCTTCAATGAGACTTTCAACTCTATCTCAGAAAAATGGGAGATGTCAGAAAGGACATCATTTTACCAAATGAAGTTTTAGTATCCTTAAGATTTCAAAAAAAGGTGAAGTTTATTACTATGATTTTCTAAATACTGAACGGAGAAATAAGTGTTCTGTGATGTATTTTACCCTCTCCCAGGAATTTCTGTAATGTATTAAGATGACTAAAAAAAAATAAAATCTGTATTTCTCCAAGACATTCTGGAGTCAGCAGCTATGCAATATTCTCAGAATTCAGTGTAACCACAGAGTACTACTTTATTTTCTTTAAAAATCCCTGATAATTAAAATAAAGGCTACATTTAATGCAAGCTTTGAATAGAATAAGACTTCAGTGCTGCCTCTTCATACTTAAAGAATTACTCTTAAGGAAAAACTGCTGTACCAAATAAAAATCCAACTCACTGTTTTGCCTTGGAGGCTCTGAGGAGTAACAGGCTGTAAACTCAGACCTGCTGGCATTGACCTTCTGTCAGGCACATAGACATGCTGTACAAAAACAAAATAGCACAGTGTGATCCATAGTTACCTAAAGACTCAACAACTACTAAATGCTAAAAAAAAAGTCTAGCCAAGTTCACACTCATGACAAATTTGCTATGATTTGTAGCAGCTTTGGCCACTCATGCTCCCTGCTGATCTACCATCTAGGACATTTGAGTAGGCTACCTCTAACTTCTGGAAACAACCCAGCCTTCATCGTTCATTTAATTAACAGTCCTCCCTCACAGCTGTTGCCCTAATCATAGCCCATGTAAACAACAACAATTTTAATTTTTCATTCATCGCTGAAAGCTGTTTAAAAACCTAAGATCTCTATATAGATGGAGTTTAAATATTAAATTTACCCTACTGATTTCAAATGGTCTTCTAATTATCCACCTCTTAGAAACAGGTTTGTGTTTTTAAGTCAATGGAAAAGGCTAGCTGTGTAACTAAAAAAACCCACAAACCAAATAGCATGAAAAAATGAAGGTAAATAAGAATCTTGACTTAAAGATGCTAAATATGAAATGAAATACTAGCATAAAATGTTCCACAAGGAAAAAAAAGAGAAAGCAAAACGTGGCTGAAAGGAGAAGCAAGCAGAAGCTCTGCAGTACCGACCCTAGTGGTATGTCTCAGATTTGTGAGAAGCAATGATTACTAAATTTCCAGTTCAGTTGAGACAAAGGATATCAAAACAAAATTACTTCTTTGTCGATAAGGACCTAAGAGCTTTCCAAAAAGAAGACTCAGTAAACAACTGTAATATGTCTAAACTGCTTTAAGATGCAGTTAAATACTTTTTTTTTTTCAGCATCAAGAGACACCTCTTTATCTCAGGAGTCCTGAGATAAAGATTCAGCAAAAAGGTTCAGGAGCATTTTATAAAAACTCTAGTTTTACATTCAACTTAAAGAATAATTTTTATGTAATGCTCAATCTATTAAAAAAAATCTATTAAAAAATATGCATAACACAAGCACGATGGATATAGCAGAGCCACATACAGCAGCCAGATAATTCTTTGTCTCTCTCTCTCTCTCACTGATGAAGACTAGCACAGTTACGCTAGTCCGATGCAAAGGTTGTGTACAAATAGACTCTGATCTTCTTTAGGGATAACTCAAAGGCATCAAAAGAAACTACTACACTCAGCGCTCTGCTGGAATGCAAGGCAGCCAAACTTGCGACCAAAGAAGAGAAAACAGCACGTGGAAAGAAATCTGGTATTTTCAGTCCTCTTAAAGAGTTCCAGCTAAAAAGGCTAGAAGGAAGAAAGATATCGGTACACACAACAATCTGAATAATTTCCCTATTGACTCCTTTTCTTTCTTTTAGAGAAACCCAGTATTATGGACAGTAATATTAGGACAACAAATTTTCACCTAATGTCTTAGAAAACTATCTTTTTACAACCTTTAGATTTTTAAATGTTTTATATAAGATTTTGAACTAATAAAGTAAGTACTTTACCTTAGTATGATGCGTCCTGTGTCTGCGATCAATAGTTACATCTCCCCTTTGCACTGGTGAAGACACTTCTGATCTGTAGGTCCGCTGTGGGGAATATCCTTGGAAACCAGCAATTGAACCATGAGAAGGTGAGGTGGGAATCGAATGCATCGTCTGATCAGAAATATTAATCATAGTTTTTGGGCTACTTAAAGTACTGTGTCTAGTAAGAGTTGTTTGCTTATTGTAAAACTGACGTTGCTGCCATTCATAGAGCTGCCACATTGTGTCATCACGCATTGATCTCCGTTTTTCTTCGGCTGTTACTGGTCCTATGGCTCTGTCATAAGCCGACGGCGTTACGCTGCAGAGGCTCTCCGGCCGTGCTTTGCTGTTTCTTGGCAGTGTTCTGTAGCCTTCTGGGTACCGGGGTAAAACTTGAGGTCGATGGCTTGGCATGTTTCTTGGTAATGTCTGATAGGAAATTATGCTGAAACAAATTTTTTTTTTATTAGTGAAGAGCACTAATATTATGGCAATATAAAGTTTGTCAATATTGGTTAGGTTTATCTCACTAACTCTTACTTTTTTATTTTCTCAATACTGCAAGTAACATTTTAAAAATATGCAAGAAAATCAAGACAACCATTAAATAACCAACAATACTGATTGAATACACTGTAGCACCCAAAACTCAGGTGATCCTCTCTCCGATTACCTGCTTGACTATTTAATTCACACTCATCTTTTACCAGTTTAACAGTCTAGTCATCTCAGTTTCATATCAAATCTTGTAACTTGTCTATGTGCTGGATAGGTCAAAATTTTGAAAGCTTAGAAGTTCCATACCATTTGCACATAAGCCCATCTTAAATGTTCTCTTTTTCAAAAGTGAAAAAAAAAAATCTTGTATTGTTTCCCTTACGAAAATCTTGAGCAATTACTATGGACATAAAAAGAATTATGATTTTTTAACAGCAGACTATGGAAAAATAGCAATAATTGTATAATGAAATTATATTTTGCAGTTGTCAATGATAAGCCACTCCATATCAGCTATTCAAGTGAAACAAATAGCAGAAATGTTTCTTTGCTTGATAACAATATTTTATTGCTTTTCAACTCAGATGTGAATTCAGAGGCTTATTCTTTAATTTGTTCCCACATTAAAATTCTGAAGTGCTGCAGTTATTTAGCAACTTTCAGCATTAGTTGAAATGCAAATTTTTCCATAGTGAGTATCAATGCATGCCTAACTATGACAAAGCATTTCTTGTTTTTTTTTTTTCAGAGGACAAAATCTAGGTCATAAACATTGATTCATTCAACCCTTATCTAAAATTCAGATGAGGACCTCTTAAAGCCTTTTGCTACTGATCACTTCTATGATAGATGCTTGCCAGAGACAACAAAACTGATCTCAAATTGGTCATGATTCAGCCATCAGAGGGCAGCACCTTCTAGATACACCCCAGTTAGGCTAATTCAAACTGAAACCCTGCAACTACGAGGCACCAGAATCTGAAAACCGTTTGAATGACTTCAGTGCCACAAAAAGATTACAGAAATGGTGTAGGGCAAACGGCAAGGTAAACCAGCATTACGTATGTTAGATCCTTATGAAATAACTATCATGGAAATTGATGATGGCAAACCCCACTTTTCACTGAAAATATTTAAGCCGAGTATTTATGATCACCTGTAACATTTTGGAGATGAAAACTGCTATAAAGAGCTTTACATACAAAATCTGCTGCAGTTTCTCAAGCTTTCCAATAATTAATGAAGTATTATCCCCATTTTGTAGATTGAACAGTCTTCTATTCTCACAAAAAAAAAAAAAAAAGAGGGATAGGGATTCTAAGTCCTACCCTGTTGCTGCAAAATCTGCTTAAATGTCTCTAAATTTCTTTATATAACATATCATTAATGGTAAAGGCTTCTCTCCATCTCCGTATTAAAAAATCCAAACAAACAAGATGTTTCTGGGTTCAGTTTCTAACTTTCAAAATATTTCAGCTATTCACAAACAGGTATGGCAGAGCCTGATATTTGCACTGAAGCTCCTCTCCCATTTTACTAACTAAATGGGCACTGTAATCCTGTTGGCTCCTTTAAATATCCCGTACAACCTGAAGAAAAGGTGCCTCAAGTTCTTAATATATAAAGATGGCAACTTAAAGTCTGCATGCAACTACTTATATTCTAGAACATTTGGGAAGACAACATATCCATCTTCTATTGGTAAACCATGAAAACTGTAAAAAGCCCAACTACCTCAATATTAAGCCTTGTTTTACATCATTTGATAAAAGCAAAACAGATTCACCAATGTCCTGTTGGTACTTGCAAAAATGTCACTCTAATCAAATCCAAAAAACAACTCGAGACAGTACGGCAGCTGACGG